TCATATATATATATATATGCACACACTTTTATATATATCCTATATAATAATAAACAAACATTGTAATTGACCATACCTTGGCTATGCGTCCCATTGGCTAATCAGCAGGATATGCAAATTAACTTCCAACAAAGATGGCGGCTAATTTGCATACTGCAGGCAGAGCGGGACAGCACAGCTCCCAGCGCAAGCCACCATCCCGGGCCACTGGCCAGCCCCAGAAGCCGGTGATCAGGGTGAGATGGAGGTCCCCTGCTCAGGCCTGACACCTCTGGTGGAGGAGTCAGGCCTGGACAAGAGGCCAACCCAGCAATGGGAGGGTGATGGAGGTTGATGCCTCTGGCCAAAGCGTCAGGCCTGGGAGTGGGGTGGAGCCGGAAATAGGAGGGGTCTGGGGGTCCCCTGTCTAGGCCTGACACCTGGGCCAGGAGAATCAGGCCTTGGTGGGGGCGTAGCCGGTGATTGGGGGAATATGGAGGTCCCCTGCCCAGGCCTGACCCCTGGGCCAAAGAATCAGGCCTGGGCCGGGGGCAGAGCCGGTGATCGGGGGAAGATGGAGGTACCCTGCCCAGGCTGGACACCTCTAGCAGAGGTGTCCAGCCTGGGCAAGGGGCCGATTTGGCGATCGGAGGGTGATGGGGGTCGACACCTATGGCCAAGGCATCAGGCTTGGGCAAGGGGCCGATGTGGCGATCGGAGGGTGATGAGGGTCGATGCCTCTGGCCAAGCCGTGAAACCCAGGTGAGGGTGGAACCAGTGATCTGGGGGAGATGGGAGTCCCCTGCCCAGGCCTGAAGCCTGGGCCTGAGGCATCAGGCCTGGGGTGGGGGGGTGGCAAGCCGGCGATTGGTGTGAACTAAAGAGGAAACACCTTTTCTGACTGCTCATTGGTTAAGCTCCCTGTATGCCACTGGTAATATTCTTAGTAACTTGGGTAATAAGAATCCAAAAAGGTGATCTAGGGTTTTTCACCACACTCCTGGTGAAAAAACTAAAGTCCACTGCTGGAAGGTTAAGAAATGTCATATCCAGCCCTAGCCAGGTTGGCTTAGTGGATAATGCCTTGGCCTGACGATGGCATGGCCTGAGTTCAATTCTGACCGAGGGCATGTACCTAGGTTGCAGGCTCCTCTCTGGCCGGGGCCCAGGTCGGGGCTCATGCAGGTGGCAACCAATCAAAGTGTTCCTCTCATTTTGATGTTTCTCTCTGTTTTTCTCTTTCTCTTCCACATTCTCTAAAAATCAATGGAAACATATCCTGAGGTGAGGATAAAAAAAATAATAAAGAAATTATTATTATATGAAAGACACATCTTGAAAATGCCTAAAGGAAGTTGTCATTTTTTTATGGTGAAGGGACTGGATGGAGTCCATGTTGATGAAAAAACCTTGGTGGCTGCGGTGACTGGCAGTGGCTGCAGCAGCGGGGTGATGGGGCTGCTGCCTTCCCCTGATCAACCCGGTCACTTCCCACAAAGGGAGGCCAGACTGTGGCTTAGGCCCTATCCCCAAGGGGAGCAAGGAGCAGGCCTAAGCTGTCACTAACACATCCCCTGAGGGGTCCCTGTATGTGAGAGGGGGCAGGCTGGGCTGAGGGACACTCCTCCCCGCCAGCGCACAAATTTCATGCACCGGGCCTCTAGTATATATAATAAAAGATATATATAATAAGATACACACGCGCGCGCACACACACGTGCCTGCGCGTTTCAGTCTGTTCTCTGAATCTAGTTTATTTTGTTCATTAGATTCCACATACAGGTTGGAATTCCCAGCCTCCACTGTTTACAACTAAGTGTTGGAGGGGATGAGAAATACTGGTACCTACCTCTCCCAGTGACATACCTTACCCTATTTGGAAGAGGGAAGAGGGAGCCACATCTTGTCAACTACACCCACCAGGAACCAGCAATGGAGCATTTGTCAAACTGAACTGTAAGATTAGAGTCACTCAAGGAATTAGGCAGACACAGCAAGCAGGAGGGAAGTTTATTAGAGGGAATGGGGGGATGGAGCCACAACCGAGGAAGGTTAGCACGCAGTCTCTGCTGTCCTCAGGGTTGAATATTAGGAGCAAAACTGCAAGGGGCAGAGGCTGGGGGATATAAGTGTTCAAGTCTGATTAGCTAGAGTCTGTTGTCCTTCAACCCGATTAGTGCTGGCTCTTGAGGCTGTTGGCTGTAAGCTGCCTTCGTTATTTTTTGGCCTGCTGTCTCGCCCTGGGTAGGACTCCTTCCTGTTGAGCCAGATAGGGTGACAGCATGTAGTTCCATGAAATGAGGCTGGGGCCACTTTCTCCTTTGGGACTTTCTAGTTAGTCTGCCTGAGCCAAATGTCCTCTGCTGGTCTGTCATGAACTAGTTACAAAATCCTGTAAAATCCATGTACCCTCCTGTTTGCATAGCTTGCAGAGATTCCTTTCATGGTTGTTGAGTCACTGCTTTTTACTCAGTGCTTTCAGTTTCACATTACTCTAAATTCTTCATTTCTAACAAAGTACTTTAGGAGGTCAGGACAGCCACGTCACATCGGAGTTGAAATAAAAGCACACCCATCCAGTGAAAGGCAGAGAAGTAACAAACAACTCCAGCCTACACTAAGGGAAAAAAAAAGGTAAGAACTTTATTTTCTCATCAAAGCAGCTTTCTCTCCACCTCTAAAGGACTGTACTCTGAGAAATGGAGTCCAGGGTAAGGTTGGGGCACGGTGGGATGGATTTATAAGGGTCAGTTCATTTTCCAAAGAACATGAGCATGAAGATAGGTTGCAGCAGAGCCCATGTACGACAGGTGGTGAGGTTCAATCCCGGCCATATCAGGGCATCCCTAAGTGTCATTACTGTGCTTGGAGTAATTAGGCAGCAGCAGACATGGGGCTAAGCTCAGAGTTTGAAATCCATTATGACTGTCTTTCTCTTTGCCAACATTGTGTTGGATGCAGACACAGTTAAATTACCACTGTCTTAATAAAACTTGCTCAGTTCTGATCTGACTGCAGCTGACACTCTGAAAGGGCTACAGATATGTTATTTTAATGAGAAAGAAGCATAGAAAAGGAGATGCAGCATAAACAGCCATCTGTCACTGTTAAAAACGAAGAAAGAAAAACCTGAAACGCAGAGTGAAAGATGAAGATTCACAAAAACACTATACATTATAGTCACATAGATGAGCTTTGTTTCAATGTGGATTACTCACTTAAAAGTAACTCATTTTCTGGTTGCCGGATGTGAGGAAGGATGGGGGCTGGTGAAAATGGGGAAGGGATTAAGAAATACAAATTGGCAGTTACAAAACAGTCACAGGGATGTAGAGTAAAGCCTAGGGAATGTAGTCAATAATCCTATCTAATAAAAGAGTAATATGCAAATTAGTCATCATTTCATCACTCCATCACAAAGATTGCGGCGTCGAGCCCCACTGCTGAAGTGTCCAGGCCTGTTGGCCAGGCATGTGGCAGGGGAGGCGGGAGGGGGGAGAAGGGGGAGGGGACGAGGGGCTGAGCCTGCTATCAGAGGGGGCAGGGGCAGAGCCAGCAATCAGAGGGGATAGGGACGGAGCCAGTGATTGGAGGGGCAGGGCATCCTCTGCCCAGGCCTGAGGCCTAAGGGCTGGGCAGGGACGGAGCTGGCAATTGGAGGGGCAGGGGTGGAGCCAGCAATCAGAGGGGGCTGGGGGTTCCCTACCCAGGCCTGAGGCCTTGTCCAGGAGCCTCAGGCCTGGGAAGGGGCGCAGCCAATGATCAGAGGAAACTGGGGGTCCCCTGCCCGGGACAGAGGCCTCAGCCAGAGGCCTCAGGCCTGGGCAAGGGCGGAGCTGGCAATTAGAGGGGCCTGGGGGTCCCCTGCCCAGGCCTGAGACCTAAGGCCTGGGCGGGAGTGGAGCCTGCTATGGGAGGGGGCTGGGGGTCCTCTGCCCAAGCCAAAGACCTAAGGCCTGGGCAGGGGTGGAGCCTGCTATGGGAGTGGGCTGGGGGTCTCCTGCCCAGGCCAGTGGACTTGGTCAGAGGCCTCAACCAGAGGCCCCAGACCTGGCCAGGAGCGGAGCCAGCTCCAAGAGGAGCAGGAAGCAGGGCTAAGCCATCAGTAGGCCATTCGCTGAGGGCTCCCAGTATGTGAGAAGGGGCAGGCTGGGCTGACGGACCCCCCCACCAGTGCACGAATTTCATGCATTGGTTCCCTAGTCCTATATAATAAAATGATAATATACAAATTGACCCTCACAGCAGAAAGACTGGGAATGACTGGTCACTATGACACACATTGACCACCAGGGGGCATACGCTCAATGCAGGAATTTCCCCCTGGTGGTCAGTGTACTCCCACAGGGGGAGCTCTGCTCAGCCACAAACCAGACTGATGGCTGCCAGTACAGCGGTGGTGGTGGGAGCCTCTCCCGCCTCCTCAGCAGCTCTAAGGATGTCCAACTGCAGCTTAGGCCTGTTCCCCACTGGCAAGTGGACATCCCCCGAGGGCTCCCGGGTTGCCAGAGGGATGACTGATTGCCAGCTTAGGCCCTATCCCCCATGGAGCAGGCCTAACCCAGCAGGTGGACATCCCCCATGGGGTCCAAGACTGTGACAGGGCACAAGACAGACTGAGGGACCCCCGAGTCCCAAACTTTTGTGCACCAGGCCTCTAGTCTGTATGATAAAAGCCTAAGCAACCATTACAGCAGAAAGACCAGACCAATTGGTCACTATGATGCCCACTGACCACCAGGGGGCAGAGGCTCAACACAGGAGCTGCCCCCTGGTTGTCAGTGTGCTCCCACAGCCAACCTCCTGCAGCTGACCAACCCCCTGCAGCCCCTCCCGTGGCCGGCCGGCCAACGTCACATGGCCTCTCCTCCCGGCCAGCCCACCCTGATAGGTCCTGATCAGGACTGGATGAGACTCCCTGATCGGCCTCAATTGCCGGCCAGGCCAAGGGACCCCACCCATGCATGAATTCATGCACAAGGCCTCTAATAATGTAATAATTATGTATTCTGACATGTAGGTACTAGACACAAACAAGAGATCCATTTAAGGTATACAAATGTCTAACAACTATGTAGTACACTGAAACTCATATATTATTGATTGTCAATTATAATTGAAAAATAACAAATTTTAAATAAAATAAAATAAAAATTAGCCCCAGTACACTAGATCCAATTTCTTAGGGCCAACTTCTTTCTTACCCCTTTACAAGTAGAATTTGGCCCCATGATTTTACTAAAAAGTTTTTTCTTAAAAGAACCTGCATCGCTAAAGCCAACATTTGGTTTACCTGACCTCTCTGTGCTGTCAAGCAGGTTTATTCTTGCTTTCTGGAAACTGCTTCTGAATTCCTTGGCTTGGCATGAACTTTACTCATCACCTACTTCTCTGACAACCCTCTCTCTCCCTCCTTTCAGCTCTTCCTCTCCCTCTCTTTCCCCAGTTTTCTCCCCTCTTGTCTTCTTCCTGCTTCTCCTTCTCCTCAACCAAATGGAAAAAGAACAAAGCAGAAAATCTACAAGTGTATGATTGGAAATATATTTTCATCAAACAACCTTCTCCTTAGCTCTCCTGATCTTTTAATCCATATTTCATAGTCTTTGGTTCCCTTACACCACACACATGTATACACAAACATGGCTTTTGGCAACATTCAGTATTTGCAATTGTGCAGTCTTATCCCCTTTTAGTTGGAGGCTAATTTTTTGGAAGCTAATGAAGTTGAAGTATAGGGCCCCTTGCTTGCACAAGCCCATATCAAAGCTTTGGGCAGGTCTCTAGCCCTGTTTTTCATACAGTCATACATTTTTATAAAATTTACAAATGTACATTATATTGGTTCCACTTCCAGAATACCAGTATAAATAGTTCTGTGAACCTTCACTTCTGCAAAATAAGCACAACTAGAAGAAAAAACACACATTTCAAATCTGTGAAAAATGCTCTGGCTGTTTTTGCACAACAGTTGGAGTGTTGAGCCTTGGATGAAGGATGGATCGAATGGTTGTGGTGGAGGCATGTGCAGGAGGCAACCAATCCAAGTGTCTGTTTCACATTCATGTTTCTCTCTCTCTCTGTCTCTCCCTCTCCCCCTCCACTCTCACTAAAAATCAATGGAAAAATATCCTCCAGTGAGGATTAACAACAACAACAAAAAAATCTCTGAAAATTGTCCAAAGAGCAAACATCAAATGATGAAATACTTATTCCCAAAAGTCTTTATTCATAGCAGAATTAATTAACAAATAAATGCTAAATTTCTTACATATGGCCAAGGTATAAACTACTCTCTAAACCCTATTTTATTTTATGTTTAATGTCCTGCAATAATTTTTTTTAAATATTTTATTGATTTTTAACAGAGAGGAAGGGAGAAGCACAGAGAGTCAGAAACATTGATGAGAGAGAAACATCGATCAGCTGCCTCCTGCACACTCCCCTCTGGGTATGTGCCCACAACCAAGGTGCATGCCCTTGACTGGAATCAAAACTGGGACCATTGACTTCGCAGGCCGACGCTCTATCCACTGAGCCAAACTGATTGGGGCTGCAAATGAATTTTTTTACATTTCTAGAGCGAGGAAGGGAGAATGAGAGATGGAAACATTAATAATGAGAGAGAAACATTAATTGGCTACCTCCTATGGATCCCATACTGAGGATCAAGCCTGCAACCCAGGCATGTACCCTGACCAGGAATTGATCCCTGCCCTCCTAGTTCATGGGCCCACGCTCAACCACTGAGCCAGACCAGGCAGGCCCTAGTCTGAAAATTTTAATGAGAATCAAAAAGAAAGTTTTCTATGGTAAATTAAAGATTTTGTTCATGAAAGTGGTTAAATGTTGATGTCCTTGTCATACCAATATTTTTTAATGGACTACTTCAATTGCACTTCTATAACTTGCTAAAAGTATACAAATCTTGCCCTCATCCATCTCACTGTTGACACAGAACTTTTGGCCATGTTGGGGAATTTTATGACTCTACCTTCTAGATCAAAATAACCTGGTGAAAGTTCTTGATTTGCTTAGAATGGAAATTCTAATCCATCCCATCTCCTCACTTGCAGATAAGGTGACACCCTGGACATGGCCTCAGACATCCAGATGCCAGGCCCGGTGTGCCTCATTGAGAACACTAACACGCAACTAGTGGTTAATCCAGAAGCTTTGAAGATCCTGTCTGCCATTACACAGCCTGTAGTGGTGGTGGCCATTGTGGGTCTCTACCGCACAGGCAAATCCTACCTGATGAACAAGCTGGCTGGGCAGCAAAAAGGTGAGGGGCACCAGATAAACTCTGCCAGATCCCTTCTGTCTACTCACACTCCCAGCTTTGAGTATGGTGTTACAAGAAGAGCAAGGTACAGATGGAGAGGAATATGGAAAGCTAACTTTTAATCTACCATTATGTTCTTACCTTACTGTGGTCTGAAAGAGTAAATTCTCTGTCTCTCCCCACTTTCCTTGATTTCCCTTTTAAACACATAATGTGTATTATTTTCCTAGAATTCTATGTTTAACTTTTTAAAGAATCACCGTATCATTTCCCACAGCAATTCTACCATTTTATATTTCTCCCCAAATGCACAGTATTCTAATTTCTCAACATTCTTGCCAATACCTATTATTTTGCTGTGTGTGTGGTGTTTTTTGTTGTTGTTTGTTTTAATTGACTTCAGACAGGGAGAGAATGAGATAAAAACATTAATAATGAGAGAGAATCATTGATTGCCTCCTGCAAGCCCCACACTGGGGATCAAGCTCGCAACCCATGCTGGGAATCGAACCATCACCTCCTGGTTCATAGGTCCACACTCAACCACTAGCCACGCCAGTCAGACTACTGGGGGTAATCTCTCCTTACCTTGATTATGTTCACGTTTATTTCCATTTTAAGACACATCTGCTATAAAAACTCTACTCCCTCCCTCTCCTCTCCCCCCGAAGGCTTCTCTCTGGGCTCCACGGTTCAGTCTCACACCAAAGGCATCTGGATGTGGTGTGTGCCTCACCCTAAGAAACCAAACCACACCCTAGTTCTGCTTGACACTGAAGGGCTGGGAGATGTAGAGAAGGTAAGTATTAAAGATTCAATATGGAGATAATCCCCTCTTTGCAATCAGGGATCATGAAATATAAGGCAGAATCCTAGAAGAGCATAGTGGTCATTAGGTAATATTCTAATTATTAACAAGAAGTTATAAGCTAAGCCAGTTAATACAGATGCATAAAGGTACCACAAATAAAATCAGCCATGAGTCCTATCCTGCAGGAAACTTTAGTTAAGGATTAATGTTCAGAAGTCCTAAACTATTGTTTAAATTTAAACTCTGACATTAACAGAATGGCCTTAGCAAATACGTTCACTTCTTTTACCCTCAGCTTTCTGATCTGTAAAACCAATGCAAACAATCTATATTTGCCTCATAATATTGTTTTGACTATTTAATAAGAATGGAAAGTGTTAGGTGAATAATAATGACTAGATAAAATAGCTATAAGTATTATTACTCTTATATAAG